TTAGAGGAATTAGGATGCCAAGCTTCTACTGACTTCAACAGGTTGCTATTATTGTTAGCCCTTTATAATGAGCTTGCAAACCCCAGCCCATCAGTATTTTGAACTTTACAGAATAGAGCAGGAATATTCTATTCCATACTCTCTCTGCTGCATATTGGAAGTTGTCGTCCCAAAATTACTCCCATGGTTAGGCTTTATCTGCACACAAGGCTTCCTGCAAATGGTGCGGTTAGTGTTTGTGCAATTGTCAGCTGTCTCTGGGAACATGTCCTGTGTAGCTGCACTGAGGCACTTTGGGATCACTTCCAGGACAGATGAAGATCAGATACTTTTTTTTCTGCAAGAGGAATTACAAGAATGGTTTGGGATTTATTGGCACTGGAGAGATTTAGCTCTTGTCATTGCAGCGGAGTTACTGGATGTAACCTGGAGGGTAGAAGGAGCCAGAGCAGTTACTGCCCATCTGTCTGTGAAGCAAGACTGAGGTTTCCGAGTACCAGCAGATCCAAATTAGAGGTCTTCCTGGGTGGATAATAAAGTGCAACCTGGGAGAAGTTTTTGATGGCCCAGTATGGAATTATCAGTAATGGGCTCAGCCCCTGGCCTAGTTTCTTTAAGGGTTCTAGACAAATAAAGAGCAGTCTTCTGGCAGCTTTGGGTTAGACTTTCGGGTGTGTTAGAAGTTTCAGGTGTGTGGTTGGGTAGTTGAAAGTAGATGCAGCCCACTTTCCTACGTTTTCAACACGACCTTGCTGTTGCTTATAATTAGGCCAGTATCTTTATCATCCAATTGTGAACTGGCCTGATGGGGGTATCCTGCTTATTTTTAGACTTGATCTCTTATGATAGCAAATTCAGAAATCTCTGTAACAAGTTTTCACAGAAAGACTAGTTTATTTATAAGAAAAAGCAATTTCTGATCAGTCATTGAGACAGTGATGAAGTATGTGCAGTTTTGAACGGTATAGTTACAACTGCAGGAAAAACGTGTAAGGCCAATGTTTACAAAAGGAAATGCAGCTTAGTGCTTTCCCTTATACCCTGATGTATTTGGGTCACTGGACTGAGATGTGCCAGAGCATGCGATGTACGTTAAAGGTGGCAGAAAGTTTACAGCAGAATTGCAGCAGCATCGGATTTCAGGCTGTTGAAATGTTGAGGCAAAAGTTTTCAGCACGACTGGTTTCTATTTGCTGTTTAGAGAATGACCAGGCGCTTCAGTTATGCTTGGCCCTGGCCTGCGTCAGTCACTGATTTTTTTTTTTTTTTAATTGAATTTGGGCTAGTCTAACTTCTCTGATAAAGTGTCCTCACCTGTAATACTGGTATGCTGTTTCACACCCTAAAACCCCTGATAAGAGGGAGACAAATTCCATAATCAATACCTTGAAATTCCTAAATACAAAGAGCTGCTCTATGCATGTTGTAAAACATTTTTCAAGACGCATTTTTTGTGGAAGAACACCACTGAGAACTGGTCTAAGTGAGGTTAGACATTTATATTGCCCTATCCAGCTGTTACTTCAAGATTACCACAAGTGAGCTTTAGAAAAAGGAAGGATAAAACGAGGACAGAATGACGCTGATTGTGTGTGTATAACTCTGGCTGATCTACAGTTACCAGTTGCTTACCCGAATCAAATGGACCACCAACACAAGGTATGTAAACAAGGCCAGTTTATATTATGAATGCCCCCCAGTAATACTGCTGCTAAATGGAATAGTGAGTGTTTTTATTACCTTTCAGACCATGTTACCCACTGTAGAGATTTCCATACTAAGAGCTGGATGGTTGTATAGTCTTGATTCCCTATTATTCCTAATTAGTGCATTTCATTAAAGACAACTAAAAATATCTTTTTATATTAGTGCTACTGTTTAACACGATGTAGAGTCAGCAGTGCAATGCAGTAAGGAAGCAGAGGTGAGGAAGGCATTAAAGAGGTAGCCACTGTAATAAGAATTAACCTGTGGTACACAAAGACTTGGAATCTCCAAGTCTTGTAGATTTCTTGCCCAACTCCTTAGTGACTTCATAGTTAAAAGGATTAATGAAAGCAGCCAAAGGCTTTTGAGATCATGCTGTTTGTGTATGTTTCCCAGATAAATTTTGAACCTGTTGCTAACCAGATTTGACAGAGAGCAGGAACCTCAAAAGGCAAAAACATTCCTGCAGGTTCATGTATAGGTGTTAAAGCAGTGGGTGGTATGTCTTACCCGTGGAAACGGTTGCAGAAGGGGTCACAAAAATGATCAGAGAGCTGGAACACCTCTCACATGAGGACAGGCTGAGAGAGTTGGGGTTGTTCAAACTGGAGAGGGGAAGGCTCCAGGGAGACTCTATTGTGGCCTTTCAAAACTTAAAGGGGGCTTATAAGAAAGATGAGGACAAACGTTTTGCAGGGCCTGTTGCAACAGGACATGGGGTAAGAGGGTAGATTTAGACTGGATTAGGAAGAAATGTTTTACAATGAGGGTGGTGAAACACTGGCCCAGGTTGCCCAGAGAGGTGGTAGATGCCCCATGCCTGGAGACATGGGAGGTCAGGATGGAGGGGGCTCTGAGCAACCTGATTTAGTGGAAGATGTCCCTGCTTATTGTGGGGGGGGGCTGGACTAGATGACCTTTAAAGGTCCTTTCCAACCCAAACTATTCTCTGATTATATAACGTATTACTTGCTAAGAAAAATCTTGAAGAACAGAAGAAAAAAAATACTCTAAGCGCCTCTTCAGTTCTGGTGTTCCCAAAACTGCTCCTTCGGCCTATGTTCATTTTTGATGTATGTTGCAGAAAGAGTTCTACTAAAAGAACTGCTGGAGCTCTTGTGTCCTTCTGTTAGGAAAGCAACCAAATACCCACTGTTAAGCTCAGTGTCAATTTCCATACTGCTGCTCTAGAACAACTCCAGGTTAGCTTTACCTAAGCTTGGTAAGCTTTTGTTTAATATCTCTGTATTGCTTTGATACTGAGGGTTCTCTTGTGGTTTTATAGGTTATGATGTATGACGAGAGCACCAGGCTCTTTGAGTAACACAACCTATACAAATAGAAGTAAATGAAGTGGTACCAGTAGTGCCTGTACTGTGTCTGCCAACCACAGTGTTTATCAGTTTTGCTATCTGCTGATCAGCACTACATTACATTAACATACCTCTGAGGTATTCAGCGCTTGATAGTACTAAATCAACAGCCTGATTACTGTTTATCAGCACTGTTGACTTTCACAGGATTCCTCGAGTCACACCAGCATGCAGTATTGCTCTGCAGGAGCCTGGTTAGCTACAAGGGTAAAAGCATTATCACTTCAAGAAAAGAAACACCTTCTGTAACCTTCTACTGGATAGTTTGCTCCCATGTGGAAAAAGTGGCAGGGAACAGTTAAATCATTGTTCATAGAGGAGCAGACCAGTGACGAGCATAAACAATGTTGTTGTGCCTGACAGTCTTTGCATGTCACTCACCAATGCTCCATTCTCTGTTTCTTTTGGAGATACAGCTGACCAGTTAGTGAATTGAAGCCAGTTTGCCTGAAAGTCTTAAATCCAAAGACTATTTGTCCCTGTTATCAGATCTCTCTCCTTGAGAACTTTTCTTCTTTGCTTTAGTATTAACAGCATTTGTTGCCAGAGAACATACAGGGTGGCCTACAATGCGAGTGGAATAGAGGACTAAGCTGTACAGAGCAATAATGCTGAGAGCAACAGGGAGAAATGTTGGCCTCATTGAATTCCATGAGAAAACTCCACTAGACTTCAGTGGAGCAAGTATTGTGATGCATGGTGTGAATAGGTGTATCCAAACACTGTGCTCCAAAGGCTTTTATTAAAAGCCTTATGAATAAAAGCCTTGTGTATTAATACTGAGGAGCGTCATGGAAGGAGTGTATTCAGAATGGGTATCTTCAGTAGATGGAGGAGGGACTTTAAGGATCCTGGCAGAAAGAATACAGAATGCTAAAGCAAATGATGTATGAACTAAGCAAAGAGCGAGAGTGATGGTAGGATATAAGAGGAACTGGAGGATCTGGGCTGTGAAGAGCTCCAAAGACACTGGTAAGAGTGGAGTAGAAGGCAAGAGGTACAGATCAGAGCACCAGGGAGTGGTAGCAGCCACCTGAAATTCTGCATTTTGAAAATAATTGGTTTCAGTTCAGTCATTAAGCCAGCTTCCTCGATATTAATGGTGCTTGATGTATTGTTTTAGTAACAAATAAAAATGCAACCTGGCAGAGCAGCAACAGAGGAAGCTAAAAAAAAATTGCATCAGATTCTATCTGACTTCATGTCTCCATGCAATAGTGGCTGTCATTTTCCTTTTCACTATTGGATTATTACAAATGGTGACTAATGCTGAAGTCCCATGGGACCCATGTCTGGTCCCATATTAAGCCAGAAAAAGAAACATTTAAAAGAACTGCTTAGTTGTGGAATGGTAACTTTCAGTTGTAGATTGAAAGGGCTGTAGACAATCCTGGTAACAGAGCTTCCTTCCTAGCAAAAGGCTTTGTTTTCCCATGCTTGTTGGTTTTGGCAGAGTTCCTTCCTCCCATCTCCAAAGTTGATGCTTTTGTTGTCAAAATTTGTTGTGTATTCAAGGCTAGGGAGCACCTAAAGAAAACTCGGGAAATCTCAGATCCAGTACTGAGTCTCCTAGCTCTTGGCAAGTAAATAAGTGCGTATGTATGCATGATTGTCAGTTTGTTGAATTTTAGTGATAGCTGTTTATAAACTTGGATTTAGCAAACTGGTAGAAGTTTACTCAAAACTCCTACAGGTTGTGAAGTTTTGCAGAGTGTTTTAATAATGATATAGTTGTCATGAAAGCAGCAGTATAAGACATTCAGCACCCCAGTAAATATTATCAGTGGGAGTACTGGTAAAAGGATTTGCAATAGAGCCTTTCAAGAATGAAAGTGAGCTTTCAGGCCTAGTCCATGCATATAATTATTTTTTCTCATGCAACTGGAGTTTGGACTGACTTTCCCCTTAATTTCTCAACAGATTTTGGATTTGGAAATTTCTATAAGAGTGGTGAACCTCTGACGACATGGTGTGGAAGCCCGCCATATGCAGCCCCAGAAGTCTTTGAAGGACAGCAATACGAGGGACCCCAGCTGGATATCTGGGTATCATTATTCTTTTTTCAACTGGATTATGTCAGTTTTTAGGAAGCTGGAACAAAAGAATCATCTTCGATTTTTCTTAAGCTGCAGACAAGCTGTTCCTCTTTATTTCTTGAGTGTCATAACACGCCTCTTAAAATTGAGTAGAATTGAAGTTACCTATCCAGGTGGCTATTACATGTACACTGTAGGTGTATGTTAACCCACCAGAAGGAAAACTGTAGCTTCTCCAAAAGCTCTCCTGACTGAATGTGTGACCTTTGCTTTTTTTCAGTGCATTTAGTATCTTCTGTGTTAAGTGGGAATTGAACTTGTAAGGCTGTAAGTTCTTGATGAGGTTAAAGGGATTCTGAGCCACTGTAACACCCGAGAGGTGATGACTGCTTTGCTCTTTGAGCTGTAAACAAGCACATTTGTGCCACAAACATTTCTACTGAAAGCAGCTGCATGTTTTTGAATTGGTGTGTCTCCATGCATACTGCTCTAATGGAAAAGGATAGAGAGCACAACCCACATTCTCATGCAATGGAAAAGGGACTACAATGAACTGAAGAAGTTTCTGTGCACCCATCACACATTGTCAGAAACTGCTTTTCATTCCTCATTTGGTTTTGTTTGGGGCTTTTTGTTTGTTTTTTAATTTTAGTATTCTGCTACTTACCACGATGGATTTGTATCCTAAAGCAACCAGTGACAGTACAATTTGGCGGTCTCTGCTCTGGCAGAGGTTTGCAAGTGATAACATTGCACATAGCATAACAACACAGGCACTGACATTTTGGTTAGAGCCTGTTACACAAACAGGGCAGTTCATGGAAAGTCACCTTTCAGCTGCTAACCTAATTTAAATTAATCTAATTGCATTAACAAATAAAAGCTGTGCTTTTAGATGCATATATTTGTATGCATGCATCTCTCTATATACATACACATACATACATGTAGCGAGCTAGAATTTAAGAAAAAAAAAACAGGCTTTCTGAACCTTTAGTAACTGACAAATAAACATACAGCAGACCGCAGCTATGCTTACTGTTTCAAGTAGCACAGGCACTGTTTGAATGTCAGAAGTGAATCTCTGAACTTTGGTAAGTGTTCTTTGATCCTAAATCATTAACAGAATGTGCCTGCCCAGAAAGTGAAGCGTAGGTGTGTTTATATTTAAGAAAAAATCATCATCTTCACTTATCTTCTGAGATGAGTTAAGGATTCTGTGTCCCTTTGCAACATCCAATCACAGAATAGGTCTGCTGAAAGTGCTAAGCTTGCAGAGGGAACGCAACAATCCACACACAGTTCAGTTTCTGGCAGGTTAAGGAAGGAAGCAAGCTACTTTTAAAAAAAAATATTTAATTTTAAAATACGTGTACTTGCAAAGTTCTAAAGTGAATGTTGAATGCCTGCTTTTTCCCCTTGAGAAATCCAGTGCTGTGGCTATCTATGCCAACTGATTGGCATGATGGTCTGGTGTGGTTATTTCATCTAGTGTGGAGCTATGTTTTTTTGGTGTATACTGCAAGACTATTTCCACTTGCAGTGCCAATTAACTTGCATACTTTCAAAAATGAGACTGGCAGTTAGAGGAGAGCTCTTGCCCAGATTGTCTCCTTTTGCTTATATTAAATAATCCCTCATGCTCAGCTCTGCACACAGCAGTGCAGAATTACTAGTTGGTGTTCCCCTGAAGCTGACTGTTCATAAAGTTACCAGTGTGCCTCTTACCCTGGCTTTTGCAAATTGGAAAATGTAAAAGGTTACAGTTTCTTATTTTGAGCGGCTGCTGTTCAAGGTTTGTTTTTGTTTGAACAACATTGAGATTAATAAAAAGTATCTCTAATTCTTACCTGCAGCTGGGGCTCACTTTTCAGGTATCATTCAGTCATCTGCGTGGAGCTTCCTGCTAGCAGCCAGAGTCTCTAACCCATTACACTTCAGTTTACCTGCTTATCAGCACAAGGTACTGCAAGCCTAGCCATTTTGGGTTAGCCGAGTGTTCTCAATGTTTAGGGATCTTCAGAAAATCTAACTCCTTTTTGTATGAATTTCCCGTTTCTGCAGAACATAACTTGAATTTTTTCTGTGACAGGATTTGGCTAGCCAACCTCAGAGACTTTGCTTGTAGCTTGAAAAATGAAATTAATATTCTCTTTCTTTTCAGAGCATGGGTGTAGTTCTTTACGTTTTGGTCTGTGGAGCATTACCTTTTGATGGACCAACACTCCCCATACTGAGGCAACGAGTTCTTGAAGGAAGGTTCAGGATCCCTTATTTTATGTCAGAAGGTAACAAGGTGTCCTCTTATGTGTGGCAAACCTTGAGTAAATTCTAGAATAATCTCTGTTGCAATAGAGCAAAGGGTGGTGCATCTGCACACGAGATTATGGTATGGCAGACTATTCGTTTTGCAAAGAAACACAAATAAGCCTAGGTAAACTGTGTGCCTTTGCAGTTACGCTGCTGCTAGGTAAACCAACTCATTTTTCCCTGTGCAACGTGTGGAGATTGCAGTGTGGCTGTGCCCATGGGCAGAGAGAGAGTCGAAATGGAAGGTGAAGGTTCTCTCATCAGAACAGAAATATGGGGATACAGGGGGAAAGGCACTTTTGTGTAGCAGTTAGCTTTTGTCCTGCAAGGCCACATGTGTTTTTATGTGGAAAGAAAATATGCTGAGAGCAGTATTGCTGTCAAACCTAACTTGTGGATTGGGTGTTTCCTGATTTTTGACAGCATCTGCTAAACAAAAGCAAAAAAGTGCACAGCCAGTTCATATGTCAGGTTCTCATCATCATGTATCTGGCACACCCCACATGCAGTGGAGAGATCTCTTCCTCACTTAATTGCCCCATCTGTTGGGTTTCGCTCTCCCTCGTGCCTCTTCAGACAAGAACAAGTTGGGCTGTTTTTACGCAGGGCTTGATGGTGTCCTTCAGCTTCCCTATATTAAAGGGTCTCTAAACCAGGTTACTTCAACACAGCCTTCCTGAATCAAGTCCTCTTTCATCATACTACTTTCTGTCCTTTTTTTTAAAGGGAATTAAAAATACGTTTTTCAGCCCTGTTGTGAAGGCTTCTGTGGTGTAAAACGTTCTGGTCTTCCCCTTCTTGTTTTCTGGTGGCGTGTACTCCTGCACACCACCTCTGAAAATAGCCACTACGGTGTAGCTACGCTGCACTTGGTTGCTTGTAGTAATGCTATTATGGCACCACGGCAACCCCTCAGCTTCCTGGGCACATTTTGTGGCTGGCACTGAACTTCATTGTGTTTCTGTGACTTTGCTGACATAGGTACACGAGCTAGATCCAGGTACTTTTGTGTGAGTTGCGATCATTGCTGTGACTGCAGTATAGATTGGCTGTTTCACAGGCTGTTTGCTGCTCCGCTTGCTGATCACATGGCGATGCAGGGAGTGGGGAAGGGTGTGCCTCTTAACAAAACTGTGAAAAGAAGAGAGATAAATAGGAATAAATAGAGAGAAATCTCTCTCTAAACTATTTTTATCACTACCTGAACAGACTGACTCATAAGAACTGTACTGTAGCCATATCATGGTCAGCTAGAAAATGCATGATAGATTGATAAGCTCCCTTAAAGGAACTCGCATTGACTTCCTAGCATATACAGACTGCACATTCATCTCTCATGCCCTCATCTTCCAAAAACCAACTGAGATCTGAAGAAAAATCATAGAAGTGCTAAGGTTGGAAGGGACCGTTAAGATCGTCAAGTCCAACCACCAACCTACCCTGACAAAACCACCTCTAAACCTTGTCCCTAGGTACCTCTACCCTTTTTTTTTTTAAACACCTCCAGGGATGGCGAATCCACCCCCTCCCTGGCCAGCCTATTCCAATAACCCTTTTAGTGAAAAAATGTTTCCTAATATCCAATCTAAAGCTTCCCTGACATAACTTGAATCCATTTCCTCATCCTATCACTTTTTACCAGGGTGAAGAGGTCAGCCCCCACCTCTCTGCAACCTCCTTTCAGGTAGTTGTAGAGGATGAGAAGGTCTCCCCTCAGCCTCCTCTTCTCCAGGCTAAACAACCCCAGTTCCCTCAGTCGTTCCTCATAAGGCTTGTCCTCCACACCCCTCACCAGCTTTGTAGCCCTTCTCTGGACACGCTCCAACACCTCAATGTCCTTCTTGTAGTGAGGGGCCCAAAACTGAACACAGTACGCGAGGTGGGGCCTCACCAGTGCGGAGTACAGGGGGATGGTCACTTCCCTAGTCCTGCTCACCACACTATTCCTGATACAGGCCAGGATGCTGTTGGCCTTGGCCACCTGGGCACACTGCCAGCTCATATTCAGCCGGCTGTCCACCAACACCCCCAGGTCCTTTTCTGCCGGGCAGCTTTCAAGCCACTCTTCCCCAAGCCTGTAGCGCTGCATGGGGTTGTTGCGACCCAAAAAATGTGACAGTTTTAATGCTGTCCAGCACATAGTAGTCAGAAAGCAGCAATGGTTTGGCGTGTTCAGAATTATTCTGGCACCTAAAGCTGCTGATTGTGCTTTGGTCCTGGAATTAAAACAGATAAACTTGCACATCCACTGGCTACTATTCACAACCACAGAGACATTATTTTTACCTTTGTTTTTATGACCACTGGGGTGGAAATAAAAAAAAAAAAAAATCCAGACACTAACCCCAGTTTTGCCAATCCCTTGTTTTATGAGCCTGAACAAGCTCTTTCAAACTGCGCTGGAGAAGGATGCTAGTTTTCCTCCCCACCACACTTCACAGAGCTTGTTTGAAGCTTTATCAGTTAATGTTAGCAATATTTAATACCTCTTTGAAGCTGCTTGTGCTGTTTTAAGTACAGTGCTATTACCCTAGTGTGGAAGCTGTGTAGAAGGAAAGGCACTGTTGAGCCATACTATGCGTTTAAAGAAGTTGGGGTTTTGTCCTTCTTAATGTGACCTTTTAATCTTGCTTTGAGAGATTGTTTTAGCCTTCAGGAAATGTATTTAGCACAGAAGTTAGGTAGAAGTAAGGCAGTTTCCTGTTGTCACACTCTTCGTTGGTAGGGGTCAGGTGAATATATGCAAGTACCACTTGGCAGGTTGGTAATTTTATTATTTTTTTCCCCCCAACAGAGTGTGAACATCTGATTAGAAGAATGTTGGTCCTAGACCCATCCAAACGGTTAACTATTGCTCAGATTAAGGAGCACAAGTGGATGCTTATAGAAGTTCCTGCACAGAGACCTATTCTTTATCCACCGGGAGAAGAGAATGAGCCTTCCATTGGAGAATATAATGAGCAGGTCTTACGGCTAATGCACAGCCTTGGAATAGACCAACAGAAAACTATTGAGGTAAAATAGACTCAAACAGGTATTTGTCCCTGTGGGAAGGTATCCTGTTTTGATGACTAGAACTTATTACCTGAGTTGCTTGCAGCATTCTTTGTTTCAACTGTTG